CCAAGTGGTCTCCCACCCGCACACTGACCGCAGCCAGTGGTGCTTGACTTCAGTGATCTGCTGGGAACCGTGTCTTAACGATCAGTCCACTGCGGGACAACTTATCTTACAATCCTCGGACCAAACTCCAATCTCTCAGCAAATTTTTGTCCCGTAGTGGACTGATCGTTAAGACACGGTTCCCAGCAGATCACCGAAGTCAAGCATCACTGGCTACGGTCAGTGTGCGGGTGGGTGACCACTTGGATCAGTCTGCGTAGGGACCGAGGGTGTGCGGTATTGGTCCTCGTTAAACTGTGCTACCGTAAAGTGCTCGACTTCGCGCGCAGGNATATTTTCTAAAAAGTTTTCATACAATTTAAATAATAGTATAATATTACTGTTAATATTTAAAATAGACTGGGGAAACCAGTGCCGGCCAAATTTTGGCACCAACCAGGAAGTGGCACAAGAAAAACTAAAGTGAAATAAAAAAAAAATCACAGACCAACTCAAAACTTATAACTCAAAACCACACCCAGACCAATATACATTTTTCTTTTTTAAATTTTTGCTAAACAAAAATCTTTTGGCTATTCAGCAATGTTACAATAGCACAAACAGCTATCAATATGGAAATTCACCAATTTTGACTAAATTTCAGACATTTCAAGAAAAATTAAAATACTTATAATTTTAACTTTTAAGTGAAAAATTATGTTTTAAATAATTTCTAGAAATCAAAAAGCCTAACATTAAAATAAACAAATCTCAAAATGTACTCATCCATTTTTACAGCGCAAGTAAATTCAGCTGTTTCATTTATTTGTATTTTTTTTAAAAAAAAAATTTTAAAAATTAACATTAAAAATTTTTTTTGATTTACCTGGGCTTGATAACTTTGCATTGACGACTGAACGGAAAAATATATGTGATGCCTCAATATAAGTAAAATTTGATATTTTGGTGGAATTGAGCAAATATTAAAGGTCTACTCCATTACTGGTGTTATATCACATTACATTAGTTACAAAAAATTGGAGTAAGCGTAAATGACACTAAGAAACGGGTTTCAACTGAGTTTTACTTCCAAAGTCTGCAAATACTACATTCATAAATGGAGTTATCCAAAAGAAAAAAGTGTAACAAATGTTAAATTAGATATATATTTTAACAATAGTTGCATACATCGTTACTTCTTAGTTCCTGTTGTTCTCAATCATTTTTTTATTAAGATAATAAGTAGACTCAATATAAATAAAACCTTTATACAGTAAAAGAATAAGACTTAACATATAATATTAGTTATTAAAGAAAGAATTTAACGGAAAAAAAATTTTAAGTCGGTAAACAGTTGTGAATTACAAAAAAAAGTATTTTATAGCTTAATTTTCTACTTTGATACATCAAAATTCAAAACAAAATAAACAAGCGTGATGATTGTGTATCTTGTGATCTCTTGTGTTTACAATAGAACACTTGCATCGAACTATTTCTTTAACAAGGAATGACCAGGAGAACTATCTTGGCAGCCGCTATTCTATTACGTTAACCCTACAAATTTGAGAAGCGCGGATCTGAAGGCGGGTTGACACAATCAAAGCGCGTGCGATCAAATTGCGTAATAAAAGTAAATAAAATTGCGTCTAAGTTTGACGATACGTAACCTACATTGAATGGTGTTCGACTTTCATGCCTACTTTGATTCAAAAAGCGATAACTATGCCAATTATGGGTATCGGTATGAGATTGATATCCATGGCATACATAAGTGGAACTCGCTTATGTGAGGGTCCCGCAGTGGACTGATCGTTACGACACGGTTCCCAGCAGATCACCGAAGTCAAGCATCACTGGCTGCGGGTGGGTGACCACTTGGATCAGCCTGCGTAGGGATCGAGGGTGTGCGGCATTTGTCCTCGTTAAACTGTTCTACCGTAAAGTGCACGATTTCGCGTGCAAGTCGTCAGGCTACCGAAGCGGAGATGCCATCCCCTCTGCAGAGGATCAAAATTGTGATGGCATGTCTTCGGATCATCCTCAGGGATGTTTCCCAGACAGTCACCAATAGCCCATTGTGCAGCTCTCTAGTGTGACGTAAATGAACTACAACAACAACTTATGAGAGGTAAATATTCATTTATTTATAATGCATTGAATTTATTTACTTATATATATATATATACATAATATATAAGCGACCATACGTTGTTAAAATTTATTTCTGAAAGCTTGTTTTTGTTTGTTTCTTTCTCAGATTTATACTTTAAAAGCACATTTGGATTTCAAAATCTATTAATTGGAACGATTTTTTTTCATTGGCTGAGTAGATAGGAGTCTGGAGAATTTTATAAATCATCTTAAACACTTGATTTCCTAAAATTTGTATGTGAAGAAACTGAGCGCCTTTAGTTAAGTATAACTGAAAAGTTTTTCAAAAGAAGTTTAAACCAAATTAAAAGTTTTTAATTTGCACTGATAGGATGCGCTTGGTGTGATGGTTCACCTCAGCACAGACACGTGGTGTTCATTCTGTCAGTAAGAGTTAAAAATCAGCAAACTAAACCACACAACTGTAGTAGAAGCAAGATGCCTTGATCACTCAAAAACTAACGAAACCTACGCACAAATCTCAGGATCTGATTCATCGTCCAAATTTGTGACCAAAAAATAAATTCGATTGGCATTTCAAGAATTAGCTACCTCGCTAACTACTATGATAACCCAGGCTATACTGGAATTAGTTCAAGAGATAGCTCAAACAGTGGAAAAAACAATGATCGAAACTTTCTCCAAACAAATATTCTTCATCGCAATCAAGGACGGAATCGAACCTCAGTATCAGTCGCATCAAACAATTCTTCATCTAGTAACAATAACTCTCACTCACCCAAACGAAAACTAAAAAAAAGTAATCGCCCTTGATGTCTTGAAAAGACAGTCAAATTTGGCTCAGTTTACCACGTCTGATTACATTTTCTCCCTTGTGAACTTTTATTCTCCTGACGGATAATTTTCAGTCGACTGGTTACAATCTCTTAGCCGATCTCTAACCAACTCATTCATTTCACCACGGCACTTTAACATTCACCTTGCTGCTTTAGGAGTTCAGCCAACTACAAAAGAAGCAGAAAGGTTTCACGAGTTGCGTCTTGAGGCACAGTACTACGTGTAGTCACAAAGATTCCAGCATGCTTTAAACCAGGTTACCAACCCTCGCTTTTTGATCTATCATTTCATCTACTGACTTTTTCTCCGTAACGAACTTTGTTGTATCCTATGAAGCATTTGAAATTGACCACGCACCAGAGAGTATTTCTTTGGCCATCTCTAATAATAATTCTCTCTCGTGTTAGCAAAATTGAATTCATTGGAACCACCTTATCCCAAACTTAGAAGAAACTATCCTTGCAGAAATGAGTTTGCACGCAAATTCTTCAATTAATAAATCAGTAAAAACTAAAGAAATATAACTCTTGGTCTACAACTCACGCTTTCCACCTTTCTGGAACAGTCATTGCATCGTTTTATTAGGTAAAAAACGCAAATACTCGAAAATTTCACTCCGTAGTGGCGGTAGGCAATCCACGCAAACCATAGTACTAAGTACTATGGGCACAAAGGTAAAAAAAGTAAAATATCCTGTCCCTTCAGATCTATCTCTAAATTGAGGAAGTGGCCTCACAAAATTGCGATGGCATATCTTTGGATCATCCTCAGGGAAGTTTCAAAGACTATCGTCAATAACCCATCGCAGACCAGCTTGCAATACAGGCGCTAAACCAAAATTTCATTTAACATCTTTCATCATCTTAAGACCTTAGCCAAGCCTTCCTCGATGAAAAGCTCAATAAAGAACTATGTGCATGTAAGGGCTGCAAATACTTCCTTTCCTTCTCTCACCACGATGTATCTCGAGATCACCATTCACTAATCAGCTCCTGAAATCTTGATGTACTAATTGCCAGGCTCAGAACTGAATTTCTTCAGACAAATGCGATTCTACACAAGTGGAAATTGATACAAAACCCAAACTACCCGTACTGCCTGAGCTGGATTACCTATTCATTAGGGCCCCCCTTAATTGGATTTCTTGAAAATAAATTTTAAAAAATTAAGTAAAGCAATGATTTAAAAAAAATTATTTCAAATATATAATAATAAAATATGACAACTTATTTACATAATGTTAATCATTTTTATTTATTACTTATTTTAGTTATTATTTATAAGTATTATTATAGTTTATGTATTATGAGATTTATCAATGTTTTTTAAGTTCAAATTTACCATTTCGATTTGCGAGCGAAAAAATTGAAGGCAGTACTGACGAGCTAAGACTTGTTTAAACAAAAAGCAAAGAATTAAATGTTGTTGAACTGAAGTGTCTCATAATTTTTTTAGTGTTTTATAATTATTTCGTGTCCGTAATTCTATTTGATCAATAAATAATTATGAAATTATTAACTGAAAGGTAAGTGTTTGTTTATTGTTTTATATACTCTTGAAAAAACTCATACAACTGCAGTTGTATGTTTTTTGATGCAGTTGTATGAGTTGATACATGGCCACTTCCAATCAAATTTTATATATTGAAATACTTAAAGCTTAAACTTTTTAAAAGTGCTTTCTTAAATTAAAAGATATATAAATGCTTTTATATTTGAATAAATAAAAAATATGCCAGAAAAAAAATTTAATCTAAAGGCCCCAAAAATTCGAATGGCCTAGGGCTCCGCGTGCGCTTAATCTGGCACTGCGTACGGCGGAGGTATCGATACGAACGATCACTTTCTCCTGGAATGTCCCTCATTGCAGAATACTCGTAAAGAACTTTAACAGTCCTTATCGCTTCCGAATCCAGTATATCGTGAACTAATATCTTACAATCCTCGGACCGAACTCCAATCCCTCAGCAAATTTTTCCAAGCCACAAACCGCTTCTGATTTTTTACTGCAACCTCCTGCTATCCATTAAGCCTCATTCCTAAGCTGCATTAATGGAAATAGAGAGCTATAAGCTAATGCACAGAACTCGTCGCACTCTACTACAATTAACAATCTAAACATGCTTTTCGTTGTTTATTTCTTCTAGGTCAAGTTTTATCTTTACATATTATATAACACTACATAATAAAATGTCCTTAATGAGAAGTATTAATTTTAGTACTGTTCGAAGAATACCGAAGTATTTTATACATTCCCACAATTTAAATTGCAGTCGAAGGAGAATTTGGAGGTGAGAATCTTTTGCCGGTTGAAATTGCTCATATATGCAAAATTTAAATTTAATTTGTAATCTTTTAATGGTTTATTTGGTTTTGTGGTTATTATTTGAAAATTTGAGTGATTTTCTGTTGTGACTTTTCTCGGGCCAAGTACAATCTTCAAAAAACAAAATTTAAAATTGCCCAAGTTTAAAAAAACAAAACAAAAATGTGTTGAGATTTGCTCTTCTGAGCCCTTCCCTTTGCAGAGAATCAAAATTGCTATGACTTGTCTTCGGATCATGCTCATAAATGTTTCCTAGACCGTCGCCAATAGCCCATTGTGTAGCTCTAGTGCGACGTTAAAAAAATACGTACCTACCATTGACAACTGCCCATGAGTCGCCAAGAATATATTTAGATTTATATAGAGGTTTTTCCTGGGGTGATTCTGAGTAGTACTCATTGAGTTAGTCCCTTTTTTGTGATGCTTTTAGGGATATTTCGGTATTGTGAGCTGCCCCGCCAAATGTAATCGCCAAGTCGCCAAATTGATTTTAAACTGGAAAATACAAACAAGATATGAAGAGATTTGCCCTGGGCCGGCTTTGAATTATACCCTTTGGGTTGGTTCGTTTCTGTGATGTTTTTTTAGTTCCTCGTGGGCTGCTGCCTGCAAGTTGTCAAGACTTGGCAATTATTCTACAATAGATCACGATGTGGAAATCTTCTCATACTTTTTTTTTAGTTTCTTGCAGGCCACAGCTTCGAAGTTGCCAAGACTTGGTGATTTTTCTTTTGTAGATTACGTTACAAATATCTTCTCATCGCCAAAACTTTGCACTTATTTTGGCACTGGTACCAATATGGAAATTTCTACCCTTTCAAATACTGTAAATGTTTTATATCTTGATGTTTAGTAACCTCTTTACCTATTGAATGGCCTTCAAGTATTATATGGTAAATATTGTGCTACATGTAAGCCGGTGACAGGCAAAGAAGGCTATCGCCCAGAGGGGGTGCCAGGCGAAACCCAGATTTAATGTTCTGTAAATTATATATTTACTTCTTTTTTAAAGCATTGTTTGCTTTAAAAATATAGTGATACGTTATTTTTTATTATGTATTTTTAGATTAACTTTTATCAATTTTTACATTGACTTAAATGAAAATTATTTGCAAATGTACTTTTGATAACATTTTGAAGTCAATGGAGATAACCCCTAAGAACAACCAACCTCCATTGCAATCATTTTACTGTGGAACAGAGCTTGGTTGTTCTCGAGAGGTTACATTGTGTGTGTGTATATATATATAGTAAATATATATAGATATATATCTCCAGAGGTTTTGCTGTATTTGTTAATAGCAGGTCAAATCTCCCGTTTTTATTTATAATTGCTTCAAAGGTGTAAATGGTTATAATTTCTGCACTAAAATTTTGAGTTTTTGACAATTATCCGAAATTATATTTAAAAAAATGGGGTTTTGACATAGTTAAAACCGTAGTAAACTGTCAAATTTCAAAAAATTACCAACCCTAATCTGGGCTGTTCAAATTTATGTTTTTTTTTTGGAAAAAAATAAATTGTTTAAATTTGTCATAGGCACTACTGTGCAGCAACTATTTCCCACCCTACACCAGATGGTTGTGAAAAAGATTATGCTCCAAAAATTAAGAACATTGTTGAAGAAATAGCAAAATTAACATTGATTGAAGTAGCAGATTTAAATGAATGTCTAAAGGTAAGCATGTTTGTATGATCAAAAGTTTTAGAAAATTTATTATATTTGTGCATTGTGTGTCTTTGCTCTATGTGAGGAAAAAATTGTTATTAGATCAGAAATATAATTAAAATGTGATTACTCTTACACAGTATAAAGTCAAATACACCAAGAATGAAAAAAAAAGTAGAGGGGATATAAAAATAATGCATTCACTGTGCAGAGCAAAGGAATAAAATATTTCTGTGCTTATCATACTACATAGTTGATGCAGGTGTTAGTTTAATTGTGTATATAATTAAAATCCTTGATTATTTAAATATGACTCTTGTTTTTCTATCGATAGATGGAATGCCTCTAAGTGTGCATATTAATTAGATTCATAAAGAGCTTGAGAATTTGTCTGTTCAATATCATGGATCTTTTTCTTATGAAAAAGGAGACATTTTCTTGGTAACGTGCCCCTTTCTCTGCGTCTTAATTTGTATAAATTGTAAATTTATTTTATAAATAGTGCGTTTTCTCCCCCCAAAAAATAGTAGAATATTGCCCGTAATATTAAAGTAAAAAAATAATAGAAATTCAAAGAAAATAATTATATGTTTATTTTCTTTCTAAACACAGCGTTTTTTATTACTTTAAATTAGTAACATACATCTTTGTTATTATTGAAAGTATCTTGCAGAAAGATATTAGTGCTAGAGAGTTTTGTCGCAGAAAGCCCGAAAAAATTCTGCTTCAGGATTTCAAAGTTTAAGTGAAAATACAATAAGTGAGGAGTAAACTGTCAGCAAAAAATTAGTAGGAAATTATTCTTTGAATAATTTTTGAGCTTAGTTACATAAGGTGCTTTTTTCATTGGGTGTTTTTAAAAAGTGCGTAATTTTCCCTTTTCAAAAATGAGATTTTTTTTTTTACCATCTCGATTTTCGCCATGTATTATGCAAAAGTGTGCTTTTCACATTGTTATATTCAACCTTTTCCCAATTCAATCAACCACTATCTATTTCGTTGTATCGTCGGTCCGTAGTGTATGAGAACGCCAATCATTTTACATGTTTGATGAAATACTTGCTGGTCCGCATGTGTTTCTACTGAGCTGGGTTCGGTGAGTTTATTGCAATTTCGTGTGCAACGCTGCAGCATTTTGCAAGATATTATCAATTTCAAGCTTAATTTTCCACCCTCTGATATTGAACTGAAAAATCTCTTGATCATTTTATAATGGCAAATATAATCAGGAAAAGAGTTCTTTGTCACAGTTATTTTATCATGATCATGTAATGTCTGAAAATTATTTTGCATTTTGTAAATGTATATAGTGCTTAAAAATATTTTTTGAGTGCTTGAAAAGTACTTAAAAGGTGCTTATTTTTTGTTGAAAGATTTGGCTACGCACCCTGAGTTAATTTTGGTTTTAAATATTGATGACAGCAGTATAGAATTAAATTCTACTTTAACTTATTCTTCTCGTACTATAACTTTATTTTGTAAAACTGTAATATTTTTTTAGATATAGATTAAGATAGATTTTTAATTATAGATTAAGACTTTTTTAATAAGCCAAAGATATAGATTAGATAAATACCCTGTACATAGAGCATTATTTATCGGTAGTTACCCATGCAAAAAATTCCCAATATCAGGATAATTGCTGTTTTCATCATTTTTTAAGCATCTAAACATGATTTATTTTGACCCGCTGAGAATAATATTTAATTTTTGCATTTAAGCATACTTAAAATGTTACATACTTATTTGAATGCATACATACTTATTAATTGTGTAAACAATCATGCTGACAGAGTTTTTTTTTCCTTGTTTAACACTGCTGGCATGGACTGCCAACTTTCTACGCTTTTTTGTTTTGTAGAAATTTATTCCGGTGGTAGCTTTGTTTATATTTCAATGTATTAATTTTTATTCATTTAAACTTATTTTTCACACCACTAATCATAAATGTTTTAAAAGTTCATGTGCATTATGTTCCAGCAGGGTTGGGTTTTTGACGTCAAAAAGTAGTTTTTGACATGACAAGGGTATAATACTGGTTTAAACCGTCAAAAACTGAAGTTTGCCAGGAAAATATATAAACTTCAAAACTATCAACAGTTGCCATGCATTATATTGAAATTTAATTAAACTATAGGTAATCAACAGGTTTTATATTTTTTTAAAATTAAAATTAAGGTAAAATAATAGATTTAAAATCTTAGAAATTTATATTCAAATGCATGTGCAGAAAAATTTTGCACAAAAATTGTTTAAATATTTATATTTAAAAATTTTTTTTTTCTTTTTGATACTTAAGAAAATTAAAAGTTTATTACTATGCATTTTTGACATATAAGGAACATATAACTAATATTTATAAGGAACTTACAAGTTATGTTGTATAAATACAAACTTGATATAAGATACAAGTGTATAAAATTTTTTTTTTAATGTTATACCGAATATCTTTATTATCCAGTATGTTAATTTGAATTTAAAAGTAGTTATATTTATGAATAATGATAAATATAATTCATATTGTTTATTATATTTATTTATAATTATTACACTTATCATTTTAAAACAATTTTTATCTCTTAATTTTTTTTTCTCCACTTGTATTAAGAATACAAATAATGCATATCTTGAAAGCAAGAAGTAATTATTCAACAGCTGAATATTTAGATATTCAACAAAACTATATAGTATTCAGCAAAATGAAATTCACAAGTATTTGGATAAACTAAATTTTCAGCATAGTAAATGAATAGGCTGAATATACTGTAAATCGACCCTAACTACTCTGTGTATTTAACAGAAAGCACTTAAATTTGTATTGTCTTATGTTAACAAAAGATGTGTTTTCAAAAATACAAAATTTTGGTTACTATTCAAAATATAAGTGTTTCTTCAAAATTTCTAGAACACATTTAGAAACACTATCCTTTATAAAAAATATGTAAATTTTATGTATTAGTTAAATTTCATATATGAATATAGGTTTTTGACATTTTTGACAGTGAGTTTTTTGACGTGACGGTTTAAACAATAGTTTAAACCATCAAAAACTGTCACATGTCAAAAACCTGCCAACCCTGTGTTCCAGGCATATGAACTTTTAACAGCATTATGTTCCAGGTCTATCATGGTTAAGCTTTTAAAAAGTTGGCAAAATTACCAAAAATTCTGAAAGCTTTGGTTTTTAAATGTCTACCACTCTATGAAGAATTTTGCAAAAAGCATAGTAGCTGGCAGGCCTGCTGGCATATTTTCCCTCCACTTACTAAAGTTTTATTTTTTCTTAATTAAATTATGCCATTAAAACTGAAAAAGCTTACAAATTCAAAAATCAAGTTTTTTGAGTTTTGATGAAATTTGTGTTGTAGTTATCATATAGTTCTTTAATATGGCATATAATCAATTTAGTCCACATTGTGTATATTTCATGAGCCAAAACTTTTCTCTTTTTTAGAAAAAACTTAATATAAAAGATGTTCCAATGACAATGGGGGTTGCGCCAATGGTTGCTCCTAGTGCATCTGCTGAAGTAAGTTGCATTATTGATAATTGTTTCAATAAAATCTAGCATAGAAAAAGTGAGGCTATGTCATAACCCTCTCATTACCAGGTATAAAAAAAAGAGGCTCCCAAACTGTGCATTGATTAGAAAAAGCCAATTCAGTAAGTTTAGAGGCATAAGACAGAAGCAGATTTTATTTAATATATCTTTTGTAACCGTGACTAAGTCGCAAAGACTTAACAATAAAAATACATATCTAAATTCTACAAAGCAAGAAAAGGGCAAATTACAATTATTAGAGATCTCCTTAAAAATATAATGCGACAAAACAGTTTGGTCGGTGTTTTCCTCTACCAACATTCTAGATAGCAGTTGTTACAAAAGAGCCATTTCCTTGTTGGAAACGTCAATTATAATTAAATATGAAAATTTAAATGTCTCAAAGTTTGCAAACACCTGGGTTGTAATTGAAAAGAAAAAAAAAATTGCTTGGGTTAAGTGGTTTTTTTCATAAAGATGAGTTTTTTTTCAATCTGCTTAAATGTATTAAATATAAACATATTTGATTATTACCAAAGGGATTAATAAAAGAAATGGTTATGAGAAGAACTGTTTCAGTCATTTTTATGCTTTCTAAATGTGTAATGAATTACATAATGAGCAAGTTATTATTTCAGAAGAATCATTTCAGCAACTTCATAATGATTCTTAGTAAAATGAAAAGCATAAGTTATGTGATTAGTTTAGAATTTTAACTAAACACATAATTTGCTTAAAAAAAGTTAATGAAAGTTAATGGATTTTCTAGAAGCATTGTAAACATTCATGAAATGAAATGCACTTATCCTTTTGTTTCACATTGTATGGTCATTTGCATTTTTTAATATATGAATTCTTCATATGCCTTGAAATGTTTAAAATATTCACAACTTTTATCTTCATTGTATATTTTGCTTTTGATATGAATGGAAAAGGATCAAAAAAATTTAACTACCTGTTTCTAAGCATTCCAAGCATAATTTAAATGAACATGCAGAGATGCACATTAAATTTAAAAATTATATATGAACATATCATGAATAACCAATATCTACAATATGCATTCACATTCAATATGCAATAATTTCCTTATATGTTCAATACATAGTTTTAAATTATGAATTCCAAATTATGGTTTTCTGCCAAATTAAGGGTGTAATATTTTAAACTTAATCTTTATGCATAATTTTTTTTTCTTTAAGAAGAAACTAAGTTTTTAACTGAAATTTTTTTTTAGCATTATTTGTTTAAAAATATCAAATATATCATACTCATTTTGTAATATTTGGTACATATAACATATATTCGTTGTTGTATTTAAACAAACCCGGTTTTATGAATCCAAATAAATGATGCGATAAGTGTAATGTGTATGCATAATACACATAATTACTTTTAAAGATAAGTAATGTATTATAATTTACCGATATGTTATTTTTTATTCATATATTTTATTTGTTTTACATAGTTCATTAATATTACATTTTGTTTTCAAAAATCAGATTACTGAAATATGTTTTAATTCATATAATTTTGTATAAAAAGTTGCAAAATTAAATTTATAAAACAATAAGCTGATTATTTTGAAGAGCAATTAGGTTTGATTATTGCTAAGAAAATTGATAGGAAATAATAAAGTGTGAAAAAATTTGCTCGGTGGATTTAAAGATGAGTTTTTTCAAGTAGTATAATCTGAAGAAACCCACTGGGTTTCTCAAGGCAGGCTCGCAAACCCTGCATTAAATGGAAGTATCATGTTGAAAGATAACCCACTAAAAAGATTTAGGTCATTAGGTAACGAAATAATCCAGTTTTTGTGACTTTTCTTCCTGTTGATAATATTTGAATTAATTTTTCAAACACATGTGTTGAGCTGTATTTATTTTGAACAATAACCAATAAAATATAAATGGTTGGAATCTACATACTTAAAGATATATTGCCGCACTTGAATCAGCGTATAAAAGTAAAATATTTCTTGTTCAATTTTTATTTTGAAACTTACATATTTGAGTTTTAAATAATAATAAATAACAAGCGCAAGGGTCGGGATAGCTTGGTTGGTAGAACACCGGGCCCATGCCCAAGAGGTCGTGGGTTCGATCCCCGCCGGCCTAAGACTCCCTGTGTAGTAAATGGTGACTTATGCATGTTAAATCTGTCGAGTCACAAAGTCCTCCATATTCCCATAACAAATCATACTTCTGGGAGTACTGATCCAGGAGTTTCCTTGTCTTCTGGATTGGTTCAAAATTACTAGGCTACGGAGTTGAGCATTAGTAGTCATAAACCCAAAAACTGGGTCGACTGTTCAACTACGAATATAAAATATAAAAATCAAATAACAGATGCAAAGGAAAATTTCTTTTTTGTAGGACCCATTAATTGTAATTGGAGTGATATCCAAATGCCAGACAGTTTGAATCTGTGGCATTACAACATTAGACTTAGTTTGAAATAATTATTAAGTTGTATAGAATAAGGAGTATAATTTTCCTAAACTGCCAATTTTAAACATTTGTAAATTTTAAAAGATTTTGAGCAAATATTGGGATTCAGTATTGACATATTCATTATACTTGCGATTGAATGTATATGAATTGGCACAGATCAATAGTTAAATTCTGCATCATTCACTGAAGGGTTGAAAATCAGAATAATGCAGTGACCTTGACTATCAATAAAACGCTGTATTTTGATGTTTTCACCGAAAGACTAACACCATCAGCGACGCCACTGTGCATACTCAAAAAGTTCAAAGTCCTGGACTCATCTTCGAAGTTCTAACTGAATCATGATGACGGCTGAAAATTGAATAAGATGGTTTAGATGAATAATTTTCTCTCAATTTAGTTATTATACAAATCACAAAGTAAAATTTTTCTTTAAGTTTTTAATTGAATGTTTTCTCTAATAATAGTGTTTTTTTAAATTTTTTTACAGGACGATGAAAGTGAACCTCAAGTGACCAAGTCTTCTTTTACTGTAAAATTAATGAAATTTGATGCCTCTCAAAAAGTAGCTATTATCAAAGAAATTAAGAGTTTAATAGATGGCATGAATTTAGTTCAGGTATTTGATTACTTCTTAATTTGATCTTTCTTCAGTTTTTGCTACTCTGTAAATTTTTTTCCTGAATTTCGTTTTTGAAATTGTGTATAGTGAGTTTATGTTAAAAATAATATAGAGAAAAATGTTACGTTTTATGGGAGTGGAACTTTAAAAACCTACAAAAATTGCTTACGTTGAGGGAATGATCCGGAGCAAGCAATCGCTTTGAGGGTTCTGTTGACTGAGAACTTAAATCCGAGACTGGCATTTCTTGATATCACTGTTTCTTTAGTCTTTCGTCTTGACTTTAATTTATTATAACAAAAAATTATCAGTTATATTTCATTAAAAAGCAACTTGTAAATTTCTTTTATTGCAAATTTTAGTCCAACACCATATGATCAAATGGTACTTTTAGATGTTGAATTTTATGTTAAGAGATTTAGTTGAACTATGTTTTTTTTATTTTTTAAAGAAATAATGCCGCTAAAAAAACTGAACGTTTATAAGCAAATAGATTTACATTTTTAGTGGTTTGCATTAGTATTTTAAGTGTTACCTGACTAAATACACTGCCCTGGAAGGGAGTAATATATATTTTTGCCAGATAATTCAATTCAAAAGTCATAACTTATATTTGTTTGTAACTTTCAATGTTTGTTGTTCTAGGCAAAGAAATTTGTTGAAAGTGCTCCACAAATAATAAAAGCTGATATAGCTAAAGATGAAGCAGATAAATTGAAAGAGACACTAGAGGCTGTTGGTGCTACTTGTGAAATCTCCTAGACAAACGCATTTTTTTTTTCCTTTTGTTGGCTGCACTTTTATAAAAAACATATAGACTTAGTACTTTTATTTCATAATATGCAGATGTTATCTTCTGTGTTTTAGAAATGCAGTGATTAATAACAACAATATTTTACCGTACCACCCTTCAGTAAAAAATTATATGTTAAATAAAAGTTTATATGTTTAAAGTGTTTGTTTTTTGTAGAATAGAACATGTATTAGTTGACTTGTGAATAACATATTCATGATCATTTGTGTTTTACAAATAGGAAAATTATAAGTGTAATTATGATGCATTAATTAGACATTTTTTTAAAACTCAAATTTATTTTTAATCATGTTTTCTTTCAAATTATTTGATTTAAACAAAAAAGTGATATTTAAATGCTTTTTAAGTTTAAAATTACACTATTATTTTTAACCATTACTATTACTTTTAAAATTGGCATTTGTACTCATAAAATATTAATCATCACTTACTTAAAAGTAATTTCAAATAAAAAAAACATTATCTTTATGGCATATAAACTATTTATTATTTATTGATGTAAGTGCAATTATAAATTGGCATCTAATATGTCCCGATCATGCATTTAGAATTGTTTTGAAATAAAAATCAAATAAAACTGTCTTGTTAAAGTTTTTTAGCATTTCATTTTTTTATTTTATAAGTAAGCAGTGTATAATAAAATAAGTTATAATTATATTGTGAAAGATAATATTATGCTATAAACTTATTTTATATTTTTAAATTGGAAAAAAATCATGGGGATAAAAGTAATTAAAATATAATTTTACTGAAGTAAAGCCTCTTTATAACAATGAATACACAACCTAATGCACTTAAATATGTTACAAACAAAACAAATATTAAAGAGAAACTGGTTGAAGTTGAAATTATTGAGAATTTGTGGTCTGATGAGTTAAAAATACTTTGAGTGGGTGAAACTGGAATCTAATCTGTCTACGTGTATGTAACCAATCCTAGCTGGATGTAACGAAGCCCAAAGTTATCTTAAAGCAATATATATTGCAGATATACTCTCGGTTTTTTTTCTTCTAATAATTTTATGAATTGGAAAATTTGTGCGCAGTCCTTAAAACTTTCTTCATTGTCACAATTTTGTAGTCAATGATTTTATCATTGATTCCTTTTTTATAACCTTTTTTTTTAATGTATTGAAAAGTCAACCATATGAAAAAAAAGAGAGTATAATGCTGCTTTTAAGTAAAAGCATATACAGAGCACAAAAGATACCTAAAGATTTTTCTTCAAATGTTGGACGTGTTCTGTTTCAGAAAGATTTACCAATGCTCTGGGTCGTTTTTTCAAGTTCTTCAGCCTCTTCCTTAGGAAAATTTTGCTTCTTATTTGTTGCTAAAAAAATAGCGTCCTACTCAGCCAATGAGACTGATAGAGCTAAATGCAAACTTAATAAATTAAAGCTTGAAAATATCCCCGCCAGAAGGCGTATCATGAATTCCGATTTTAAGTTAAATAAGCTCATTGCTTTTAAGTTAATGAATTTTATACCAAGCTCTTACAATTATAAAATTTTATTGTGTGTTATGTCATCTTAAATTAATGAAGGGATTATCTATATATTATTTGAGAATAAAATTTTCAAACACGATCATCAGTTGCACTAGAGCTTTCTTCAGTGTGGCATGGTAATGTTCCAACTTTATTGTGGCTTATTAAGTTTAAAAAAGAAAAATGTTTGATGTTCTTTCTTATACAAAATGGAATCACTGTTTTTAGAGAAGGAGCATCCAAAACACATCTAAAAAACATTTGTAAATAAATAGAAAAAAATAAGTATCTTCTCTTCTCGTTAGAGTTAAGACCTAATGCCTGCGAAATCGCTATATTAAATTTAATGATCTAGTATGAAAAGTCTATTTAAACTTCCATATTTTTCTGAATCATATTACTTCAACAGACCTGCCAGCTCTCCTGCTTTTAGCAGGAGTCTCCTGCTTTTGCCTCAAATCTTCGCCTTCAGGGTGTTTTCTCCTGCTTTTTTCTATTTAGTTCAGGATAGAGGGAAAAAAAAACAATTTGTGCAATTTCCTTCCCAACTTGCGCTTTAGATCATGCTGGGCATTTATTTAGAAAAATTTTCCCCAATAGCAACATCGCTAAAAATTACGGTGTGTGCGAACCAAAACAACAGCAATAACCGATGAAATGGCAAAATTGGAGAGGAAATATATATTGGATACCATTAGGCAAAATGTTTTTTCACTTTCTATAGATGGCAGTTTTTTTTAAGTATTGCTAAATCAGCAACATCTGCAGTTTTAAAACAGTAGCAGTTAAAAAAAAAAAAAATAAGAAGAAATACATTTATAAAATATTGTATTCATTATTGACATATTCTGTTAATTTTGAACCTCTTCCTAAATTTTAAGAAATCAAAAGATGTGTTTTAATATAATTCTATAGAACCTTATATTTTATAGTAAGAACACATATCTTTATTAGTCAGAATCTTATTGTGGTCTATTTTATGTAATGTAAGTAATATATTTTGAAATAAACTTCTTGTAGGAAATGTGAATCAGGTTTAATTTTCAATATTGTGCTATGTCGTGATACAGAAAGAGTCTCCTGCTTTTTTATTTTCTGAGGTTGGCAGGTCTGCTTCAAACATTAAAATATGCAAGAAGTATACAGAAACACAATGTTATATCATTTAATTTTGCAGGAAAAGTTTTCGACTAAGTTTCAATAAAAAATTATTATTTATAAACTAAAAAACGTAAGATAAAGAAAGCTTACGATAAAAGAAATACGATCCTAAAATTCCTCATCTTGAAAAAAAAAATTTAATATTGTTTGTTGAAGTTCTAAATTAGACTTAGAAAATAATTCTGTAGGCTCTCTACAGAATGATTTTCTACGTCTAATTTAGAACTAAATTAATTAGAAAATTAAAATTTGAAAAAAAATTACAAGTAAATTTTTTATTATAAAAATCATAACACTTACCTACTTTATAAATCCGGAGAATTCCAAAATGAAATGTTCTCAAATAATATATACCTAGGTTATCCTTTCATTACTTTAAGATGACAAACCACACAATAAAATTTTGTAATTGTAAGATCTCCGTATGAATTTCAATGTGTAACTTAAAAACAGAATAACTGAATTCTAGTTGAAATTAATCATTCAAAATTTAAAAAAAAGAAGAAAAAACACTTACCAAGAAAATGATAAAAATTTATTAATAATCAACACAAATGAAAATATTTCAAGTAATTTAGATAATTCTATATTGTTTTCCGAATTATATAGATGTAGATGTATATCTATTCTATAAAGAAGAAGAATATTCTATTACAGTTCTGCACTTCTGAAATCGCATTCATTGGAATGAAGTAAGCAATGTGGATTTAATTAACTTCCTTTTAATTTATAATGAATTATAGACAAAAAATATTGTTTTTTTTCCTTTTTTTTTTATAACTGCAATACACACTTTTTAACAGTATGTGTAAACATAATTCCTTATAGTGCATGTATGTTTAGTGAATAATTTTAACTTAAGTAAAAAAAACTGTTTTCTGCCAAGAAACAACAATTATTGCGAAACAATCATCGGGGTTGGTGAGCGGCAGCGTACAGGGGGCTTAGCCACTTAGTTGATACAATAAACATTTGGAATCTTTTAATTGAGTTGCATTCAATTTTGCTGTTACATTCCATCAAGGAACAAAAATGATCTCAAAGCAATTTGAAAGCTAATCTTATAACTGTCGTAAGCCCACATACCTTTTCTTTTTCCCTTTTCTTTTTTTTCTAACGAAGGCGTTCATAAAAAACCCAACTTTTACAAGGGTAAATGGGTTTTACTTAAATACGGAACAGGGTCCAAAAAATCCCAAAATGGGATTTTTCGAGAAAATTTGAGATTTAATGCCTGAACGTTTTTTTTTCTTTTTTTTTCCGGTTAACAAATTAATAAGTTGATGAACGTACCTATCTGTTGAAAATAAAATAAAATTAACAATCTTATTATATCCACTATTGTTAAGCATTACTATCCTAGAACTGAGAGTATTAGGTATTATTGTGCATGCCTTGGCCAAATCTATTTGTGTATTTTTAACCATATTTACTCAATTTAATTTTTAAAACAAATTTGAAATTGTTTGAGAATTACTTCAAAATCAGATTGGAAATTTAATTTTACTCTAAAATTAAATAATGATAGAAATTAAAACAGCTGATTTGGGCAGGTCAAAATTTTTTTAAATGTTGGTTTATTTTGAAAAATATGTATTGGGTTTTTCTAGGCTTGGCCCACATAGGCGGACTTAGCTTGGATTGGTTACACTAATTTTCTTCATTGTAATATTAAGCAAACCATAAAATGAAAGAGTAGAAAAGAAAATTGAACGAACAACTTCGTAATGTGTGAAAAGATCATCCAAATGAAAAAGAAAACTTATCCTCGAATATCGTTTTCAGTTCAATATTTAAATTATATTCGTCCGACTGCCTGATTAGACGAGGGTCGTTCAATAAGTATTTAGAAATACAAATATTTTGAATAGATTTTTTTTCCCAACATAATCTGTTTTTAGAGAGCCACATTTTTTTTAAGCATTCTAAAAAATAGGATTTCGGTCTCAAAATAATAGTTTGGGATTCTTCATTCATCGTCTTGAGTCAGTTTCTTTTTTCCATGTTCGGAAATTGAAAAAGTCACCTTGGACCAAATCTGGTGATGGCGTTGGATGTTGTAATAATTCAAGCACTATTCTGTAATTTTCGCCTTTAAAAGTACGTTGGTGTGAATTCTAGCGAATTCTTCTATGAGAGCAAACAGAAACGTTATGGTTTAGGTGATAAAGAGCTCGCCTCCCAATGAGGAGAACCGGGTTCGTATACGATACGAATTCCGTATCAGCACAAACCACAGTGATGACGTAAAATATCCTCAGTGGTTGACGGATCATGAGTTAGAGCCCCCTTTCCGTCAAGCTAGCCGCGGGAGTTTTTGTTGTTTTCCTTTCCATCTAATGCAATTGCAGGTTAGTTCCATCAAAGTCTTTATGCAGTTGAAACAAAATTCGATCCAACTACTCTATTCTGCTCGATTGATTCGAAAAAATGTCTTGTTCCTGATTCAATCGTGACATTTCGAACATTTTCGTCACGTGACAGCGAGATACCTTGACTTCGATGGCTAAGTTAATACGGAAAAAGTAAAATAAACTTTAAGGGTTCCAAACTTTTGACCAATCTCCTGATCAAACTAGTGAGACCATATTTTTCAGTTTGTGGCTCCTCCCCCATACGTTGGGGGCCTGGAATTATAGTTCGTCGTAAAAATTGAATGTTCATTCCGAAAAATACCTTTATGTGCCTGATTTCTTAACTTATAATATCGTCCGCACTAACTCATTAGCATATTTAAGGAATTAATTTGATAAAAAAAGAAACTTATTTATTCAGAAAAATACAAGAAAAAATAAGAAATCTAGTTCTTTTTTTTCTATATCGTTTTGCGCACCTGAATCATATTACGGTTAAAATTTCAATTATTAGTTTAGAAAATTTATAACAACAAATCGTTTGTCACGAACTTCATAATACAGAAAACAGGCTAAAATACTCGAGTGACGAA